CCAGCGATTAATAAATCGTAGTCGGCTACTGCGCAGCGCCGCTGTAAAACCAGCCACCCACCCAGAGAGTAAAAATAGTAGCAGGGGGGTAATATCCGCACTCACTATGTTATCCTATTACTCAGTTCTCATTTTACACCCTGAATACCTGCAGTTCATAATAACATCCTTAAATAGCACTGTCTTAATGATTTTTTTTTTGTTTCTGATTATTTTGACGCCTGCTAAAATTTTATTTTACTTTTGTACTTTATTGTACACACTAATAATACATAAAAATATGACAGAGGTAAGTAAATATACAAAGGCGAGTTCAACTCTACAAGAGTTAGAGTTCAGTAACCCCAGAGTGAAAAAGAGCATCAATGTCGTTAAAAATTAAACATGAAAATGTAATTCAAAATTATTTACAATTTTTTTTAAACTTAGTAAATAATTAAATTCAATTTGTTTCGAAATGTTTTCTTTGAAATTGTTTTTTCTCGGACATTGAATTAATAGCTTTATAAATGACATAAAATATACTTTCGTATATGCAGTTCTAGTAGATTATTAAGTAACTTCAGGATATTTAAAATTCCTTATGAGTTTTGATTTTATTCTGAGTGTATGTGAATCCTTATATTGCTTAATAATGGAGTCAAAGCGATAGCACTGGTAAATATTAGATATTTTATTCGTACTAAGCCACCAAGTCTAACGATTAACAACGCAATTTAAATAGTTAAGAGGACTCTGACGGTAACAAATGACAGGACAAGCGTCTCGTTCGACGCTCCTCCAAATCACACCTAATGCTCGATCAATCCTTCACGTGGAGAAATTAAAATAATTGCGAGCGCGGCGGGATAGTGCCGGCCTTTCAGACCCCCGCCGGCGATCTAAAGGGTTGAGTACCGTTCGCTGTACAGTCGATTTCTAATGGATTCATTTTTAATAAAGCGTAATGAATATGAAATATTACAAATGTGTTGTTACATCAAAATTAATATTTTTAAAAGTTTTTCATTCTTATTTTGGTAACATTGACTTTTCAATAACATGTTCCCAATAATAACTACGAGAAAAAAAAATGGGAAAAACATTATATTACCATAGTTAGATCACAACAAGAATTATTTTCACTATTGTTAGTGTAATATAAAATTCTTATATAATAGCTAATACATATATTGATATTATATGGATTAAAACACAACAGTAAATCTTAACCTTAATTAGATATTTAAATAATTTCCCACTGTTTATCAATGTGAAATGAAAGTTTTGGTATTCTGTTAATTTTACGCTAATAGCAGATATATATATTCTAATACTTTTAGTTATTATTCATATTAATGTAAATATATGTATAATTTGACGAATTTGTAATAAATAATAGAATAATATTTAGATTTTTTTATTTTATTTTTATAATACAACTTAGAATGGCAAGTTGACTGCTCACTTGATGGAAAGTGGTAACCGTCGTCTATAGATATGAACATTGCTAATAAACAAGTATTACAATATGCTGTTATTTCCGTATTTTATACTGTACAATTAATACTCCCCCAGAGGTATTTATTATAAATAAAAAAAAAAACACTAATAAAAATAGTTTAAAAGATAATATTTCTTTAAAATATGTTTTGCTATCTGTACACTAGCTCGCTAGACGAATGTGAGGGCACAAAGGAGGCTGCTGTAATGAATCGGTTGTTTAATTAATTAGTCAAGAAAGGGCCAAAGGGTGCGGGGGAGGGCTGTAACCCCTCACCGCGTGTGTGCATGTGCCCTGCATATTGATTTATTATGCCTCCAGCCTCTATACGGTGCGATAAATTATTTAATTCTAGTAAGTTCCGACGCGTGTTAACATGGAAATCTGAACGCTTCCATGTGATTAGATATTGGAGTAGTACGGGAGCCTGTGGTACAAGTATGTACGATGAACATTACGAAAAGTACAAATAAATATTTTGTTTATATGAATAAACAAAAATCATTCTACATGTCATGGTAGAGAAATTATAGGGTATGTCTTTACGAATAGCAATGCGTGGACATTGCTTTATATTTTGTGATACCCATGGTGCTGTTCATGTCTATGGGCGACGGTTATCAGCCTTTAACTGTCTATTTTTGAACATAAGCTCTTCTCTTGGTGGGTTTTGCCAGTAAATGCCATGGTTGGCAGGCGGATTGGCAACCGCAGTTAAGCTTTATAGATGGTTTAAAAGGGACGCTGCTTATCCTTCGTCCTCCCTTAGTCGCCTTTTACGACACCCACGGGAAAGGAAGGGGTGGTTTATTCTATACCGGGACTACAGGGCTACAAATGAGTGACGGTTATTACTTTACATGGGCTGTCATTTATTAGCCATCCTATATTTTTTAAAATATTACCATTGTGTAAAACATTCATCATGTTTGTAACTCCGCCAGTGTATACGATAAACGATATTTTATAAAAACTTGTTAAACAATTAACTGCTATATTAAACATTTTTTATTTCTATTATGATGTTATATATATGTTGAAATAATGTATATTAAATTATATCTACACTTAACTATTTTGCAGTTTATTCTTTAAACAAACGGAATCCTTTAACTTGTTAAATTCACGTGATGCGCATTTGTAAAGGTAAATTTTGCTAACAGCCTACTGGCAAATTATTAATAAATTACCTTCATTAGGGCGGTTGTTTTCAATGTTTTGCGGTTACGCTTGTTTGTGTTTGGAGTGTTTTGAAATTCGACCTTTGATGTTGTTGTTAGTGTTACGTAAATTATTACGAGAATAGAGATATTAATTTTATATAAAAGAAGTGTTCTATTATTATAACATTATTTCACCCTTAACTGTGTGTTATGTATATGTAATTTATTTTTCAATAGCTTGATCAGCTCGATGCAACGGAATTATAACGGATATTCCGAAAATTTTCAAGCAATTAGGATTCCCAAAGGCAGAGTTAAGCATTTTAATAATTCAGTATTTTTTTATGCTACTTAGAATAGTAAATAAACTGACGGTCCACTTGATGGAAAGTGGTAACCGTCACCTGTAGACATTAACAGTACCATGGACACAATATAGTATAATGTAACACCCATGATATGTTTTGGCATTCCTGAGGAATAAGGTGTTTCGTCCTTGTAACATGTATCTATCAGGTATCTGAAACTTTTTAACTTAATAATTAGGATTCCCAAAGGCCAAATATATTCCTAAATCTATATTGGAATCTAGTATTATTATAATATTTTTTAAATTACTGTACATATACAATATATTTTAAGGTATGTTTTGTTGTTTATATTATATGGACTTTTATTACGTTTTCTGTTTTTTTTTTTTTTTATTTTTATTTTATTTATCAAGAACAAGTAGACAGATCTTACAACGTTTATCCGTCATTATTATATTTGATAAATTCAAATCATTCAAAATTGGCTCAGCATTGGTAGTATTAACAAATTTACTTTTAATAATATTATAAAAATAAAGGCATATTTATAATTTTTTTTAAATAAATATTAAGTAATTTGTTTACTATTTAGTGGTAAACTTACATAAAATAAATATGTATAAAAAATAATAATTAATTATAGTATGTTAAAATAACGACAGAAATGTTAAAAGGAAATGATAAACTACACGACTATTATTAAAGGGACGATATGAACCAGAACATATAGACTAAATCCATTTATAAAAGATCGTCTCCTAGACGAAGGCAACCGATAATCGAACTCGGATAGAATCGAACCTCATTTCATTAAATTGAGCAATGCGTCACCAAAGCCGATTCTGTAAACGACGTTCAAACTATCAATCTATGTATTATGCAAACAAACTCTTCTGTGTGCTACTATTATGCTTAATTTACATTACGAAACTACATTTTATGATATTAATTTGACCTACATTTTCAGGTACCAACCTCTAATTTCATAATTAATGCATTAATACCAATAAATCAAAACTTTTTTTAACTAATTTCATTATCTAAATGTGACGTGAAATAAAAAATTTAAAACAATAGTTTCAATTATTTTTATTTAGAATAGAACAGAAAAAAACAGAGCAAAACAGAATAGAATATCCTTTATTGTCATTTAATATAACAAATTTGGTTTAATTTAATTACATTATTATTATTTTAATTTATATTTCTTTTATAATATAAAATTGATTTTAGTATGTCTTTTCTTACATCAATAAATTATTAAAATAAAAAAAAAAATTATAAGAACTTGGATTATGGCATTTTATACAGTAATTTATCTGTCTTTTACAACTTTTGTGGTATAGCTATAAATGTTTGCAAGTATTTGATTGGATTGCGTTATATTTTAAATAAATTTCATGCTAAACTATGAGTAGCATCAGATATTCATAAGAAATAATAATACTATTATTGATAGCACCTAGATAGTATAGTGATTACGTACTATTACTGATAGTACCTAATCACTAGCATCGGGGGGAAAGGGATTGTTAGTAATGGGGACTAAGAATCCCATTGCTAGCAATATACCCAACCAGGTCGCCCTCTTCGCGGTTCCCTCTGGAAACTATCATGGTTAATTCCTGATGAATTCATCATGATGGGCCAACTGGCCTGTTTTCTTTCCCATCTGTCACCCTTCACTGGTGCTCCGCTGGCGTATCCCGTTAGCGCGGGCGGGGTTACCATTTCATTTTCACGCATAAAAAAAAATCACATGCATCAGAAAATTACAGGGCTATTCCCATGAACAGCCCTGTAATATATATATCCATATATACGAGACGGTTACCACTTCTCATCAGGTTAGCCGTCAATTTATTTTCATTCATTATTCGCGATACAGTTTTATACTTAGGCAGATATCATCGTTTTTCAATAATATTGTAATCAATATTTTTGTTCCAAATAAATAATAAAAAAAAAAAAAAATTTATTAATTCCAGGTTGCATAAAATAAAAACAAATAATGCAATAAGAAAAAACAGTAGCAATACTAACTGGTTTTGGACCGTGGCTCCCTGGGCCCGTCGACTGTCACCTTAATAGCCTTGTTGTACGTGGTGACCTGCGGTGGCGTCGTTGATATCGTTATCGTTAACGTAAACGATTTTCCTGCAACAATTATAAAAACAATTTAGTTATTCTATATTAAAAACTTCGGTAGCCCGATGGTGGATAAATGCATCATCATCATCATATCAGCTTTTAACTGTCCACTGCTAAACTTTCCTTTCCTAGGAGGCTTTACCAGTAGTTGCCACGCTTGGTAGGCGGATTGGCACTGCAGTTAGACTTTGAAAATGTTTTAAGAGGGACGCTGCTACCCTCTTAGTCACCTTTTACGACACTCACGAGAAAGAAAGGGGTGGCCTATTCTATGCCAGGACCACACGGAAAAACAGTGGATACACTGCTTTGCGTAAATGAGATCTCGGATTAGAGTTCCGGTCGGGCTAATTTTTTAAATATTCTTTTCCGAATTGACTCGAGTCTGGGTGTTCTAGTTGTGCTTTCCAATGTTTGCTATATAAGGTAGGGTTCTAGGTTTCTAGCTTGAGAATCAGGAAAATTGGTGTAACTATGTGGTACTTTTATAATAAATAACACTAATCAATGACAAACAATGGTGATAAATAGCGGAATGAATTATATAAATGACTAGGATTGTATAAAATTTCTTATGAAATGTTTATAATAATGGGTAGTAAGGTTAAAGGTCTAGATCTTAGGGAATAGAAAACTACGAAGAAAAGCATTTTGAAATTCAACTGAATAGGAAAAATAGTTTACGTGTGAGTACTATCGCTGTATTCGATTGAATCATCAGTATATACTCAATCTCTCAATCTCTTTTGGAAATAAGCTCGCCTTTGTGCACGTTTATCTTTGTTTTTTTTCTATTTCAATAACCTTTTGTGTACAATAAAGAATATATATTTAGTAAGAATATGGGAACGACATTGAGGAAAGTGTCTATATATTGATAAAATAATTATAAATATTACTTCAGAATTGGCTAGATTGCTGTAAAATATGCTTATAAAAAATACAGGCGAATTAAGAAAACGCTCTTCCTTTGTAAAGTTTTATAATGAAGATTTCGCCTTGACTCGGTCGATCTCCGGAAGTTAAGATATCGAATGAAATTCACTTTGTCACCCTTTTTATTAGTGCCTATTATACAACATAACAAACTTTTATCAATGCTGTAATTTATTTTTAGTTGAAAGGGCTTGTGAAAACATGAATGCACTGTTATTAATAAAAACGAAAAATATTTGCACAAACTTTTTACTTAAAGTGAACGCAAGCCATAAATTCGTTTTGTGGTCGCAACTCTTTTCGACTGCGTTTTTTGTAGTTTGATTTTGATCGCTTGTTCGAAAAGTTAAAATTTATTGCCCGGTTCGTTTTCAATTTGGGTGTCCAATGAAATTTGTTCTCTTCCGCGGTATACAATCTATCCAACGCGACAGAAATAATTGTCTATCAAAACTGGAATTTCATTCCTCCACTCACCCGTGCTTCCTATAGTCGTATAGAAGTAGCTACATCAATACCAAACACTTTATGTTTTGCTGATATCATGGCGGGATATTAATTACCGTTACAAATGCACAACAGTTTTTTTTTGTATACAGACAAAAACATGTACTCGAAATGAAACAATCTCATTCAAATGTGGAGAGCATAAAAGAGCATCCTATCCCGCAACATATCAGAGCGCGTCACAAACAACGGAGCGGCCACTTCATCACGGCGTAACGCTGCCAATAAAAAAAAACATTTCCATCTGCGGAAAAACCACAGTTAATATTAAATGACCGTCCGTCAAAGCTGTATTGTAGAGAGCTTTGCCGACCACTCGCTGCGGGATGCAGCCAATACCGATTCCGCGATTTTTCCAGCGGCCCCCACACCCGCACCCTCGGGGAGGTGGGAGAGTGACATGTGAGCTTTAATGGGGTCTGGACGCTGGCTACACGCGAAAAAACTGAAAAAAGGCCTCATTCATACGTGATTTCATGTATAGGCTACTTTGGGCTCGGCGGTGAGGCTCGTTAAAAATGGAGGGCGAACACGCGGCCAGCTTGTTGTGGCCTATCGGAGTTTATTAACGTGGCCGGAGAAGCGCTTACAGTGTTCACACTTGTTTTCGCTTTTGGGGTTAACTCAATGTCACTCAGGTAATCATTATCCAACATGTGTGATGTTTGATTAATGTATCAAACTCTGATGAGGATTTAATGAATATATGGCGATAGAGATATTCCTTTTTCTTTTGATTTCATTGATTAATTAATGAAGTCCGAGTCAATCTTTTATGTTATTATTTAATAATAACGATAATAAAGTCTACGTGGTCAATATATGTTTTATATAGTAAAAATAACATAAGTTATATAAATACATAGTTTTTGTAACTCAATTGTGTCAAAAAATTTTATACAAAAATGAAATTCATAAACATAAACTAAGGAATTATTTTTTGATTAAAAAAAATAATTAAGAAGGGAAGGGTTTTTACCTAAAGGGTTTTTTTATCATGCAATATTTATCAAAATACGATTTGTATGTTTTAATAATATATATTTCTAAACAATTTATTAATTATTGATTTATCAAATCTTAGATACAATAGTCAGGTCGATCTCCAAGCGGATCCCCTGGAAACTATTTGTCATCATCATCAGTATTCCAGCCATTATCCGTCCACTATACATAGGCCATAAAGAACAGTCCTGGTCTTGGAAACTACTGTGAGTGATTAATTTCTAGTAAATCTGATATCATCTTTATCTTTATCTAGCTTACTTAATCAATAACGCTGGCGATATTGATATATAATTCTATTTAATTCATTAGAAATACACTCAGTATACCTATAATTAAATACTAAGACATTACACCTTCAACTAACAATTCTAAAGCCGATTAAAAACTCAGTTTTCGTAAGGTGAGTGATGTACCGATTCGGTGCCAGTCGCGGCACGCCACGGCTCATGTAGTTCAGCGCCTAAATAAATAACCCCTAGTTAATGCCCCTGGCTCACGATACGTTTTTATGAGCTCACAATTTCCGCACTCACCGTGACAAGGCAAATGAGTGACGTGAACGCTTTGTAGAGCTTGGGACGATTACACGATTAACGTTCTGAAGAAATAGCGGTGGCGGACTTTTTTTTAGTACAATAAGTATTTTTGTGTACCAATTTATTACAGATCTATCCAGAATGTCATAAATGTTCTGACTGACAATTATTTTCATTACCTCAGCCAATATCTATCTCCACCATCCATTGACAATTACTTTTAATAGCATAAATAAATAATCGTATTTGTTCTATAAATGAATCAATAGCACCATATAATACTACTGTCGTTGGTACTCACACACACTCATACAAGTTGTCCTTTTTTTCGAGAATTTTAATTAATGTTTTTACTTTTTGGTAATATAAAAAAATCTAGGAAAAAGATTTTTTCAAACCTTATTAATGTTAAGTAATAGGTTACGATAATTCCCATACTGTATATATGTAGAAATAAGTTTTAATAAAAAATATTGAATTTTCTAATTAAAAAATTATCAAATATTTAATTACTATCATAGAATATGGAATGGCTTGTTAAAAATGTGGTAACTTTATAAAAATGTGAATATCACTGTAACGTCCATACATGATTATCAATCATCTGTCATTACTGTCCACTACTGAACGTAGGCCTCTCACAAAGACTGTCATAAGGAAAAGCACTGACGTACGTTTCCACTTTTCAGAACTAAAGTGTTGTACCTCTGAACCGTACTGTAATCCGTAATTAACAACGACATAGGGATTGTTAGTACTAGCACAGGTGCCAGACTGTAGTCAGTTGTATGAATAGAGGACTCTACACTACCTACTCATTCATTCCACTTCACTAGCACATCTCAATTTGTACCAATAGCAAATATGGACAAGTCTAAAAATGTTTCGATATCATTTTTTTATTAATATTTGTTTAAAAAATTTAATAGAGATATTTATAACTTATATAACAAAATATATTGCTAATTTTAATATATTGTTAGTTATTGTAGCAAGCAACAACTAGCAATGTATTATAGGCACCAATAACAATTAAGACGCCAGTGCACATTTCATATGGAAATACGGCAAGACCCTTTAAAGATCAAAAGTTCGCTTGGATAATTCACCGCTTGTTTCGAACTTATTTACTTGAAAACATATTATTATTAGCTATGTACTGTTCCTCTGACATAAAAAATATCTTATTTGTTAAAATGGATATTTTTTGGATGGAGGGATTGAAAATATTTCATTTCTTAAACCAAATTTTTAAATACATTCAGTTATTTAAGCATAATTAAGTAACAAAAATTAAAAGGTTACGAGTTTTCACATCCAAGATTTATGATGGCAGGATTAATATAATTCTATATTATGTTATTAAAAATACATTATACATTTTTTTACAACACGTGGCAAACGCACAAGAGGCTCACCTGATGGTAAGTGACTACCGTAATATATAAGCATTCCCAACACCAGAGGAAAAATAAATGCGTTTCGGCCTTTTTAGAAAGAGTAAGCTCTTTTTTTAAAGACTTCACTTTACATGTAAATAAACTAAGGAGCAAATTAGATCTTTTTATTCTCATGAAGTTTTTTTGCATTCTAGTTGTTATTTTATGTAACTTCATTTTTAATAATGTTATAGGTATAAATTTGTTTAAAAAACAGTAAAAAATATGTAAACTTTTGAGAAATTTTGTTTAAACCACTGTGTTATGTCCACTGTGTACCAACGGCGCGAGTTCTGGTAGACGACATTCCCTAATAGCTGGATGCAATCCAATTTGACAGGTGTCAAATACACTCGTCGCCTTGTCAGCAATCGCTGCGATTAGTACGCGATGTCGAGGTAACGACGTGCTAATGCCCTGAGCGCTAATTGACTGAATTAATATACCGATGTAAGGTGTTCTATTGCCTGAGATGAGGTCGTGTTGTGAACTATTGAGATATAGTTTATACGTACTAGTTATACAATTTACTATATCACCTAATGAGCTGTAGATAGTCCTAAGTTTGAATGAAGTGTGA